ACCCGAAGGTCGACTTACTGTCGACTGAGGGATGTGAGTCGACCCCGAGTCGACTTAAGATTAAATCCCAAGATTTTACAGAAATTCTGAATTAAGACTTTTGCACTTTGAAAAAGTTTTAACAATGAAATTTTTTTGAGTCCTAAAAATCTACTCATAAGCTTTAAATATTTATTGAAATATTTTAAGTCAAAACAAGAGAAACAATCAAAAATAAAAAACAAAACAAAATTTCTTAAGAAATGAAAATTAAGCATATTTTGGTACCCAAATACTTTTGGTACCAATAGGGTTAGGGACACGACCCATATCATTTAAGATCAATGCCTTTGGGTTATGAACCTATTTGGGCGTATATGGTGCACAGATACGGTCAAAAAAAATTCGTATTCATGACCTTTTCGATTGCAATGAGTGTAATGAAAGGGTCTAAATGGTATGTGTTGACCAACATAAGGTGCACGAAAATCATTTGTAAAAGTAGGTTTAATTTTGAAATTATTTTGCAAACGAGAAACCTTCTTCAAATCAAAACAAAATTTGGTCAAATGACCCAAACAACCACAAAAATCACATTTGTACACATGAGCATATTTATGATTTACATTATGTGTGTGTACATGTGTATGAGATGAAGAAACTTGATGAGATGCACAATCATGAATAGGCTTGTTAAGTTTTTGTGTATTATGACAAAATTTGGCTATATGACCTTTAAGACCGCAAATAGAACATTTATGAATTTTGTCATACATGTGTGCATAGTGTGTAGGTTTCTTAGAAGAATTAACATGGTACTTTGCAGACATGTCCATAAACTTTTTGTTATTCGCAATACAAGTGTTTAGTGTTGAATCTAAGGTCGATATGTGTTTTTTCATTTGATTCAACTCATCATTGTGCATACAAGCATTGCTACTAGAAGTAGAATAAACATAATCATTTACCATAGAGTTTAATTTATTTTTACTAATGGCATCACATTTTTCATTAAGCAATCTAGCATTTTCTAATCTTAAATTTTTATTGCATTCTTTAAGATTTATTTTTTTATTTGCAATGAGATCAAACTTAATAATTAGTGTTTCATGAGAGGATTCCATGTTATCATGCTTACTTTTCAAATCAATATAAATATTGTATAATTTTTCAAATTAATGCACAAGTTAATCAAAAGTAATATCATCATTGTTGTCGAGCTCGCATGCCTCACTAGGGCTATCACCTAGTGGTCGTGTGCATGATCCTCCAATGGAACTTGAAGAGGAGGCCTCCAAGGCTTGTCGGATCGCCTCCAAGTCCCCTTGATGTGCTTCTATAAGTTTCTATAAATTGTAAGCACTATTAAAATAAACAAATTTGTTAGAGAAAGATGAGTGAAAAGCACTAAGCAAATATTCCAACAAAAGCTTGTTCATATTAAACATTCTTTTATCATTTTCACTCCACTTGGATTTTTCCGAAGTGGGTATAATATAAGCATCTTCAATAATTTCCCATAAATCGAATTGTTTAGATTGAGCAAAAGTTTGAATCTAACACGCCATTGAGCATAGGAAAAAATATCCAAACGAGGAGCAACATTTACGGTATATCCTAAACTAGATGCACCGTGCATATCCATAATGTATATATGCAAGCAAGATGTAAAAAATCAAAAATTGGATTAGCACAGAAAGATAACTTGGATCTTTAACTTAAGGTGATTAGACCTTAAATCAAAGAGCACCAAGCTCTGATACCAATTGTTAGACCCTAGAGGGGAGTGATTAGGGTCTTATACTAATCTAATCCGATTTTATGTCAATTAAAACTTATTATCAAATTATTCTTACAAGATAGATATACAATATGTTATGAACAAAAAAATACAGTATGAACAAAGAGATATATCTTATATGATGAAATAGATGCAAGGATATATAAATATACATGTAAATTAAATGTGACACAATAAAGAGATGAAAACGATATAAGATGTGAGCACAAATAAAGATGAAAGCCAAGCAAACACAAACACATAATGTGTTCATGAGGTTCGGTCCCCACGACCTACGTCTCCACTCCTCACCTCGAGGAGATCTCAACTATCACAACCCGGTTTGAAAGCCTGAACTTCTACACGCTCGGTTTACAAGCTCACCGAAAACTCTCACAATCAATCACTATGAAATCACACTATACACACTAAGTGTTGGTTTCTAGCCTATGTCCTCCTCCCCAAGTGCTCGGATACAACCTCTCCCTAGGTTCGTCAACCGACGTCACTCCTATTGGATTCGACCCCGTCTCTCACCACATACTACTCTTAGTGTACAAGTGTATTACAAGTGATACTCATAATATAAGTTCAAATACAATGTTTTGTTCTCTATAATGAATGAGAACACAATGAAGCTCACTCTCACTAATTTACACACTAATACCCACTAATATATATAGTATGGAATAATCTAAGCTCAATAAGTGTGTGTGTGATAAATGAGAACAATGAAATTTTAATTCAATTTAATATAGCAAGATATGAATATGAAATTGACAACCAATAAGCTTTATAAAAGAGTTTAGATAAACTTCTTTATAAACACAAAGAACTGAAGAAATGATGATGAGGATGATTTCCTCAATTGAAATTGAAAGCTTCTTCTTTGTGAAAAACTTCTCTTTTGAAACAAAGCTTGAAACAAGGCATTAAACACCTTTTAAACACTTTGTAAACTTAAATAATCAATTCTCTTGGTTGGTGAGAATGTTTAATGCACTAGGGTATTTATAACATCCCAAAACATCAGCAAGAACCCAAGTAAAAAAGACCAAAAAGCCAAAAGAAGACAAAACCAGAAAGTAGTCGTTACAGTGTTATGAGTCGACTCAGTACTATTCATGAGTCGACTCATAAGTAGTCGTTACAGGCTAAAAATCAACTTATGGTCGACTCATAAAAATCAAGAGTCGACTCATAAACCATGGGTCGACTCATAAGATCATGGGTCGACTCAGAAGAAACAAAACTCATTTTCTAGTACACTTTGTGAGTCGACTTATGATAGTCATAAGTCGACTCAACCTGATGGGTCGACTCATCAAAGTCATGAGTCGACTCAGCAGAAATAAAATGTAAACTACGCAGCAGTTTGTGAGTCGACTCAATACTGTTCATGAGTCGACTCATAAACATGTACACAAATTTTTTTTTAACTATGAACCTTGTTAAAAAATATCAAATAAATTCTAAAAATGTAAAACTTTAGGATAGTTTATAAACATGATGTTAAACATATTTTTGAAGAAAATTTGGAAATTACATTTGCCATTTGTAAAAGATTATCGTTTTAGCAAATGTGCACATATATGTGCAAATATGTAAACATGTACATTTGATTTTGATAAAGATGTGTTTTGCAAAAATTTTGTAAAACAATACAATGTAAACATGATGTTAAGTGTGTGTATAAATATATATTGAGCTTAGAGAATAACACACGATATATATAAAAATACCTAAATGATTGTAAACATAGTTGATCTGGATCTTTAACTCTGATATAAACCTATAATAAGTCACAATCACTAGAAAACAAAACTAGTTATAAATTATTTGTGAAATCATCAAAACAAAACAAGAGTGTAGGTTCAAAACCAGAACCCTAACAATAGTGAGGGTCACGAGACGTCCCAGTTGGAGTGCAAGTGCTTCGATTTGAAGTGTAAAAGAATAGAAGACGCTAACAGGAGAGACAAAAGTTTCAAGACAATGATGATATATTTTCAAGGGGGTTTGGGAATCAAATCCAAGATGGAGATTATAGGGATTGTGCCTTTGATTCTTTGTATAACTTCATGAGCATTAGATAGAGTTAGAGATCGATCATGATTAGGAGATTGAGTCTCATCATGATTAGGAGTTTGAGTTCCATTCTAATTAAGAAGTTAGGCTAGAGATAGGGTTTTGATTTTCGTATATATATTCTTCTATTGTGGGAGGACAAACCAAGCAGAAGAGAGAGAGCCAATATCCTTGTAATCTAGGGTTAGCAGAGGGCGTAGCCTGATTCATGAATATTGTATGAGAGGCGAGGGTTTTGTAGTCTTTATTCATGCAAAAGATTATATCATTAGGCGAGGGTTTCGTAGTCTTTATCCATGCAAAAGATTACATCACTGAGAGAGGGTTTCGTAGTCTTTATCCGTTTAAAAGATTATAAGGAGAGGGCTTTGGAGATAGGGCTTTGGAGATAATATGAGAGTTGATTATGTATGTGAGGTTGAGAGACAAGAGTTGAGTGGTTCCTCTTGTAGTTCTCCCTGATACATAGTAGATTTCTCGTATTGTTGCCCGAGGACGTAGGTCGAAGTTGGTCGACCGAACCACGTAAATCTCGGTGTTCTTTCTTCTTGATTGAGATTATTTTCTATCTTATGGATTGTGTGTTAACTTCCAAGTTACGGGGATCGTAGTAGACGGGGAGACTAAACTTCTCCAACAATAATTTTACTTTCCTCCAATTTACGATTTTTCAATCAATTTGGGCCCAAGAGTAAACCCCTATCACGTAGGAGTAATTTAATCTTTACTTAATTGTCTTTGAGTTCGCTGTGAAAAGAGTGATGTAACCCCGTGGAGAACTTGAGAGCTTCAATATCAAGAATAGGATCAAGATATTTTAAAGCAAACAAGGAGGTGAGAACAGAGAGAAAATCACCAATTTACACATAAAGTTGTATAGTTTCCAACTAAAACTTTAGTTACACATACCATATTGTTGAATTCATCTCTCTTGGCGAGCAAGATACATGAATACGAAAATGACTCCAATAAAAAAGAGCCAATAAAGCCCAAAAAACAAGTGGTCCTACCAAAGACTTTTTACCCACCATTTTCATGATTCCTCATTTTATCTCTCATTACCCAAGGAAAGGCTCCAAGCAAAACACGTCACCATAAAACCCCACAACCCTATGAAAAAATCTTCTACTCATGATATAAACATTCTCTATATCAAAACGACACCAAAAAGAAAAGGGCTAGAGAGAAAAAATTGGACCATGAAATCTACTTGCAATGTGTTTGACCTTGGCAGACACACTGTTGAGTTCCTGATAATTGAGACTGAAGCTGAGAAAAGTAGTTGTAGCTCTTCTTCTTCTTCTTCTTCTTCTTCTTCTTCTTCAACTTCAATTTCATACTTGAGACCTCCAAAGCCATTACTAGTTGCAGCTCCAAGTGATGGAGGAGAGTTTGAGTTCCCTGTGGTTATATTGCTCCATGGATATCTACTCAACAATTTCTTCTACTCTCAGCTCATGAAACATGTGTCTTCTCATGGTTTTATTGTTATAGCTCCTCAGGTTGGTATTTACATAGTATATGACAATACCACTATTTGTTTACTCAAAGCTTATAGTTTCCTTGGTACGTAGTTTCAATTTATTAGGGGTTTTAAGAAACTAATTTAATCTCATTCCCACGGAGAAAAGATTAATTGCTATAGTAATACATCTTAGGGTAAAGTTCACAAAGCCCCCCATAAAATTAGATAATCCCAAAATAGTTCTAAGATATCACTTAACCACGAAAACTTTAAGGCACTCCACAAAATGCTCACAATGTTAGAATTCTTTCAACTTCCCCCCTTAAGGCCGGCCTAATAGCATGACGGGTGTTGTCTAAAACTTTTATCAAAAGTTGATGGGGTTGCTGAAAATAATGTTGAGAGTTAGTGTGTTCTTTGAAATAATAATGGGAATATGTTGAAAAGAATTAGGGAGCTTACACAAATGTTATGAGGGTTTTGTGGAAGATCCAAAAATTTTGAAAGTTTAAATGAGAGCTCCAAATTTTTGGGGGTTATTTAAATGGGGGCTAAACAAGGTAAATTTTGTGAAATTTACCCTACTTCTTAGCTCTGATATCACTTCTTAAGAAGCTTTCTAGCCTTTATAATGTTAAATGAATCTCAAATAGAGATTGAGAATCACGGCACAAACTCTTATTTTGTTGGGCCTCATATGAGGGACGATACTCTAATAGCACTTCAAATGTTAAATTGGTCTGATATTACTTGTTAAGATTTGAGTTAATTTGATTTCCAGACTATGGTTAAAAATACTCTATCCCCAAAAGAAGCAGATTACTCCAAGATTCCCTATGTTTATTTGAAAATAAATACTCGTTGCAGGCATAATGATCTAATTGTAACACTTGGTAGTAGATGTGCCTGTGCTTTGATTTGTTAAATAATCTAGTATGATTGTCTTTTAAATAATGCATATGAATTCTGTAAATGCTTGCACATCCAACACACAAATCTATTCTGATTACTTCTACTTATTGCTACCCTTTCTCCTGTAGTTATACTCAATAGCAGGCCCAGACTGTGAAGAAGAAATCAATTCAGTAGCAAAACTAACAGACTGGCTCATCAACAATCTGACTCAAGCTCTCAAAGGCATCAAACCAAACCTAGCCAAGCTCGCGATCTCTGGCCACAGCCGCGGTGGAAAAGTCGCTTTTGCCCTCGCCTTATCTCCCGCCAAAACCAAGCTCAAATTCTCAGCACTCATCACCATCGATCCTGTCGATGGAATGGACAAAGGAAAGCAAACAAACCCACCAATCCTCACCTACATCCCTCACTCTTTCGATCTTCAAATAGCGACGCTGGTGATTGGTTCGGGGCTCGGGGGCTTGAAGAAGAATGTGGTGTTTCCTCCTTGTGCGCCAAAGGGAGTGAGCCATGAGGATTTCTTCGAGGAGTGTTGTGCTCCTTCATGGCATTTTGTTGGGGAGGAGTATGGGCACTTGGATGTGTTGGATGATGAGACTAAGGGACTTAGAGGGAAATTATCTTATTGTTTGTGTAAGAATGGGAAGGAGAGAAGGGCAATGAGGGAGTTTGTGGGTGGAGTTATGGTTGCATTCTTGAGAGGGTATTTGGATGGTGAGATGAAGGATTTGGAGGCTATTAGGGAAAATCCAAAGCTTGTACCAATCGAGTATTCAGTTGATAGTTTTGTTTAAATAGGGTATAGTCAATAGGCTTTTGGTAGAACTAATGTTTGCTTCTGTGTATGATTTATAAATCTACACATATACATCTCTTTTGTAGAAGACATTTAAACTAGTATTAGCACATATATCACAAATTTTCAGCTAATAATTGTAATGATCATTTCTTTTTTTTTGGTAAATGAAAAATTTTATTCATCACCAATATGTGAAATGTATATACATCAATCATCTCATCATTTGAATGAGATAACAAAAGAAAACCTGAAATCTAAAGCTCAGTGAACATTTATGTACAGAGTATAGAAATTATGATCATAGTTATAAAGCTAATATCCTCTTAACCAGTCGAAAAAATAAACTCTGGAACTATCTCTTCTGCTGGCCATAGTTATAAAGCTAATATCCTCTTAACCAGTCGAAAAAATAAACTCTGGAACTATCTCTTCTGCTGGCTTCCTCAAATTTTCATTTTTGCACTGTAAACTCTGGAACTATCTCTTCTGCTGGCTTCCTCAAATTTTCATTTTTGCACTGTCAACAAGCACCTGATAGTAAGCTGAAAACTGATCTATAAAGATAATATCCAGTCTTTATTCTCTGCAGCAGTATTGCTATTTAGAATGGCTGTCATCAGGTCCACCTTGATGATCTTGATAACAAGCATTATATCTCTGCTTTTTTGATTAAAGATCCTCCCATTCCGTTCAATCCAGATATTATAGATAGTGGATGTAAATGCCATTCTTTTAACTTTGTGCTTGAACCTTTTCCCCTTAAGTTGCAGCTATACCAATTCAATAATTGGTTTAAATCACAACTTCTCCACTTAAAACAGAGCCATTCCATTATCTCATTCCAAACTTCTTTAGAAAAATTGCATTAAAAAAATAGGTGATTAGAACTTTCTGTTTCTGCTCCCGAGCATAAAAAAACATCTATTTGCTTGAATGATCCCTCTCCGCAGCAGTTTATCTTGGGTTAAGAGTCTATCTTGGACTGCTAACCATGATATAAAAGATTGTTTAGGTAGGTTAAACCCCCCCCCCAGATAGTTACACTCCATGGCACTTTGCTAATAGCAGGAGATAGAGCATGATATAACTCTGACAACTTGATTTTTGAATTCCTGCAGCAAGAACTAATTAGATTCTTCAGATAGCACTTTCACTGGTAGAACATAACTAGAAGTCCAGTAAATTTGAATTCCCAGAATTACACTTTTTATCACCTGTAATCTTCCACCATATGACAGTTTTCTGTTCTTCAAACTGTTTTGTAATTGACTGGAGATTTTGCTTATGAGAGGGTTGCAATCCAGGTAGTTTAATCTCTTGCATACAAGAGGAACACCTAGGTATCTTATTGGCATTTTTCCTTTAGTATATCCCAAGTAATTCTGGATTGATTCCTTTATAGCATCATCTACTCCCCCATAGAAGATAGCACATTTATTGAGAAAATTCCCAGTCCACCGTACAATTTGCTTGTGCACACTCTGTCCCAAGAAACCAGTGATTGTTTGAATGTAAGATCACCCTTACCCCAGAGGAAATTCCTACAAAGTTTATCCACTTTTTGTAGCACTTTCACTGGTAGAACATAGCTAGAAGTCCAGTAAATTTGAATTCCCAGAATTACACTTTTTATCACCTGTAATCTTCCAGCATATGACAGTTTTCTGTTCTTCAAACTGTTTTGTAATTGACTGGAGATTTTGCTTATGAGAGGGTTGCAATCCAGGTAGTTTAATCTCTTGCATACAAGAGGAACACCTAGGTATCTTATTGGCATTTTTCCTTCAGTGTATCCCAAGTAATTCTGGATTGATTCCTTTATAGCATCATCTACTCCCCCATAGAAGATAGCACATTTATTGGGATTTGCTTGAAGACCTGATACCTGACTAAATCTGTTGATACACTGGTGGATTTTTTGAACAGAATTGAGATCACCTTTGCAAAAAAGTAACAAATCATCTGCAAATATAAGGTGAGATATTTTTTGCCTTCCACATTTAGGATGAAATTTGAAATTTCCATCTTGCTCAAGAAGGTTCAAACTTCTTGTAAGATACTCCATTCCCAAAATAAACAAGTATGGAGAGAGGGGATCTCCTTGTCTTAGACCTCTTTCACCCTTAAAGTAACCATGTAATGAGCCATTGAGAGATAGTGAATACTTTGGAGTAGTTATACAAGTCATGATTCTGCTTACTATAACCTTTGGGAAGCCCAGGCCTTGAAGCATCTCTTTTATAAAATTCCAATTAATAGTGTCAAAAGCTTTTCTAATGTCAATGTTAACCATGATTCTAGGAGAGATGTGCTTCCTTCCATAGTTTTTAACTAATTCATGAGCTAACAGAATGTTATTAGTAATGTGCCTTCCTTTTACAAAAGCACTTTGTGCTTCACTAATGAGACATCCCATTACTGACTGAATCCTATTTGCAAGGATTTTTGAGATGATTTTATATAGGAAATTGCAACAAGAGATTGGTCTGAAATCTGCAGGAGTGTTTGGACATGATACCTTAGGGATTAGAGTAATGGATGTGGAGTTTATGGTACCCAACATTTTCCCTGTGCTGAAAAATTCTTCAACTGCAAGGATTACTTCATCCCCTATTGTACTCCAAGCTGATTTAAAAAAAGAAGCTCCATATCCATCTGGACCTGGGGACTTATTGTCTGCCATAGAGAAAACAGCCCTTTTTATCTCATCTTTTGTAACTGGTAAAGAAAGACTACTAACTTGATTTTCATTTAAACAAGGTCCTTTCTTGATTATCTTGAGATCTGGAGGAAGAGCAGTTTCTGCTGTACCCAAAAGGTTCTTGAAGTAAGAGATAAGCTCATTTGCAATCTCCCCCCCCTCTGTAATCCTTTCACCCAAACTGTTTTTAAGAACCAGTATTCTATTCTGATGCCTATTTGCTTTTATAATAGAATGAAAATAGCTTGTACATCTATCACCTTTAATGCTCCAGTGAATTTTTGCTTTTTGCTGGAAAAAGGACAATTAACATTCCAAGAGTTTGTTATAACTAGACAAGCAATCTTTCTCATGTTTGATGAAGTCATGGTTGACAGGGTCCTCCTGCAGCTTTTTTTGAATTTCCTCCAGTGCATATTTGGCTCTTACTGCTTGTTCACTGATATTTCCATAGTGTTTCTTGTTTAATTCCTTTAGAGCTCCCCTCAGTAGCTTGAGTTTAGTAACAATTGAAAACATTTTGTAACCTGCAACCTGCCTTTGCCATATTGAAGACACTGTGGACATGTAGTTGCTGTGATTAGTCCACATGTTAAAAAACTTGAAAGGCTTCTTTCCTTGTTTTTCCTCCTTATATATTGAAACTAATGCAGGTGAATGATCTGAGAAGTTAGGAAGCAAGAATTCAACATGGCTAGAGTTATAATTTTGTATCCAAGAGTCATTTACAAGAGCCCTATCCAATCTGCACCATACCCTAGAGTCCTGATCTTGCTTGTTGTTCCAGGTAAAGAAACAACCCTCTGTTTTGAGGTGCAATAAATGGTTGTCCTCAATGAAAGAATTGAAACCCCTTGTATCTGCATCTGTAAGAGCAATTCCTCCTAATTTTTCATCATTATTGATCATAGTGTTGAAATCCCCACAAACAAGCCAATGTGTATTTCCAGTGATTTGATGCACTTGGAGCAGCTCATTCCATAAAAACTTTCTTGAATCTTGATGGTTATGACCATAGACAGAAGAAAAAATACAATTTATCCTCCCATCCTTAGAGTTGACAGTGCAGGTAATGTGCTGTGAAGAAATGAAATCAGCTTGAACATTCAACATATCAGAATCCCATAAAATTATAATCCTTGCCTTTTCTAGAAGAAATGAAATCAGCTTGAACATTCAACATATCAGAATCCCATAAAATTATAATCCTTGCCTTTTCTGTGCTTGATACATTTGAAATCCATTTCCAATTAGGGGCAATCTTTTTTGCTATTGCTGAGATTTTAGCCTCCTTTATTTTTGTTTCTAGCAAAGCAATGAAAGAAATGTGACACTGAGCAATATGCAGTCTAATCATGTGTTGCTTGGAGGACTTGTTAAGTCCTCTAACATTCCAAAAAGAAATATTCATCTGGCTTTATTCCCTCTATCCATTGTAGAGGGATCCAAATCACAAGCTATTCCAGTTAGAGGGGAGAAGGGATTTATAGGTGAGAGTTTACCCCTTCGCATTAACATCCAAGGTTTCTCAGAATGTGTTTGAGTATCAGCTTCAGATTGTAAGACATGCATGACATGCACAAGATTTCCAGAATGTGTTTGAGTATCAGTATCAGATTGTGAGACATGCACAATATGCACCAGATCTCCTGCTGTAACCTTTCCTGTGTTCAAATTTTCACTTTTCCTTGTTTGATTTTCTTGCTCAGCTTGCATAGGATTCACCATATTTGAAAAGTGACCATTATTCATTCCAACACCATTTCTACTAACCTGTTTAGTTTCAGTATGCATAGGGGTTTGAGAATTCAGCAACACAGGCTGATTTTGTATAGGCTCCTGACCAAGTATGACATTAGTCTGAATCCCATCATCCTTCAATTGTATAATATGCTCAGGAGAGATAACTGATTCTACACCGGTTTTTTAACTGAAATATCAGTTTTCTGTTTTGGCCTCCATACCTGGACTCTTGCCTGTTTCTTGCAATGTAGAGTGTCATGGCTCACATTTTTACATATTTCACACCATCTAGGCTTAAACTCATAATACACCTTCTGTTGAAAACTTTTCCCATCTGGTCCTTTAATTGTTATAACATCAAGAAGGTTAGAGGGCATATTCACTTCTACTAAGACTCTAGCATATGCAAGTCTTTGCCTATTTGCTGTTAACATATCAGTGGTAATTGGCTTACCTATGATGCTAGCAATCTTGCTAATGCTCTTTTTATTCCATAGATTCAACCTCAAGCCTGTTAATTGTATCCAGATAGGGTAAACACTTTCAGTTCTCTTTTCCAGTTCTTCATCAATTGTCCATGGCTTCAAAAGAATAGGCCTGGAACCAAAGAACCAATGTCCATTCTCCAAAATTTTCCTCATATCTTCTATGTTCTTGAATTTGAATAAAAACAGACCAGGTTTTAATAGAAAAGTTTCAGGCACAGCCAAATTCCCCCATATCTTCTGCACATAATTCTCCATTGCTTTGAACTTAGCATTTAATCCCAAAATTTGCCCAATTAGGGAAAACTTCCAAAAAGATTCCCCTTCATTCCATTCTTCTTCATCAAAAGTGACTGTGTCATTAATATCAGGAGGCACATAATTCAAACTAAAACCATTTCCAGGCTTTCTATTCTCAGCGAATAAACTAGTCCAACTTTTCTTTGCCATAACAGGATCAGGAATTGGTGTTTTAGTTGTTTTCTCAAGAGGAGAGAAATTTTCCCCATTCAAGAAATCTGTTGTTGGATCAGAATTTATCCTATCAAGATTCACAGATATTTTATCTAGATTCGTCAAGGAATCCAATTTCATAGAAGTTTTATCATTATTTGAGAAAATCTTCAAAGAGATGTCTAATTCTTGATCATCTGCCCAAGAAAATCGAGAAGAGCTACATTCACCAGTTACAGAGTTCAAAGACTTACAGAGCTGCCTCGATTGTAATCCACAAACCTCAGGAGATTTCTGAGGTTGAAGAGAATTAACCACGAACTTGCCAGAGTTGAGGATGTCTGTCATCAACAACTTCTTCTTCTCTCCCTTTGGTCCAGTAGATCCCATGACCTCATGGTTTAATCCTTCATCATCTCCAGCCTCAGATGATTTCGCGCAAGAATTTGAGGCAATTCGATCAATCTTCAAAATCTCAGATGATTTCGCACAAGAATTTGTGGCAATTCGATCAGTCTTCAAGATCTCAAATGATTTCGCATAAGAATTTGAGGCACTTAGATCAGATTTCAAGATCTCAGATCCGTTGTTTTTCTTTTTTTTTTTTTTCACCATTGAATCAAGGCGGGGGCGCAAGTTAGCAGGCAAAAAATCGCCTGCTAACGTGCACCAAGGAGAAACCGCCAAAAAAAAAAAAGATCATTTCTCTTAATCCATTAAAAACCCAACTTATAGTTTTCTCAATTATTTTCATTCCTCACGCTTGTTTTCCTTCTCTCTCAATTTTGGTGTTTCTCCTTTGATATTTCTTCTCTAATCTTATCTTTTCATTTTGTTGTCAGTTTCAAGGATGGTGAGTTTCTCCAACAAAGATGTGAATATGACGAAAATTTTGTTAAGTTTATTAATTTTGGATGTATTATTTGATACATGAGAGTTAACAAATTTATTTAAAATATAGGTGTTTTGGAAGATTATATTAAAGGTTTAATTTCAATAGACGCCTTATAAGTACCACACTTTGGCGCTTTTAGATAGACTCTTTTGCTCTCAAATAGACTAACTAATTTCATCTAGGAGTAATATCTACGAAAATAATTCAAACAAGGATGATAGGGTCAAAATTTTACCCATTGTTTGTCAAAATTAAACTATAGAGATAATAAGTCCCAAGTCTACGTGCAATTAGCTTATTTTAAAATGGCAAAGATCTTGTGAGCAATATAAGAAAAACCTAATTAAAAGTATTTCCTCGATAAGTTCCTTAATTCATAAATATTTTACAATTAGTCCCTCAAATCATTGAAAACTGCTATTTAGTCCCCAAAGTAGTATATCATGTGGTTACCCTTAACCGGAGAGACTAATTTGAAATAACTTATAGGACTTGGGTAATAGTAATTTCAATGATATGAGAGACTAAGTTTGAAATAACTTATTATAGTTTGGGGCCTAATAATAATTTCAAGTATATGAGGGACTAATTAAAAATTAATAAGCTTTTTTAGTATTAGTCCCTCGAGTATGATAAAATCATATACTAGTTCCTCAAATCTTAGTAATTGCACATTAGTACCTCAAGTCATAGAGTATGTTGTAAGTTTGTTCTCTGTTAGTTTTTTTTTGTTTAGCCCAAACCCAACACGCAAAGTTATCAAACTACACCTCTTTATATGTTTTAAACAGGGNAAAAAGAAGCTAAGTAGGTTTTTTAGGAGTGGATGCAGTGTTTAAAACCCATTAAAGAACGAGTTTATGGACTTAGCAGAAGGGCGTAAATGCCTTTTTGCCTCTAACCATTAGATTTGAGGAAAAATTCGAAAAATTCCTTCAAATCTAACGATAGTGAACCGGGAGTAGGGGTGCATTCGGTCCGGATACGGCTTAGATGTGATGCTTACCATATCCATATTCGCTTACCCATCTCAGATACATATATATACCTCAGTAAGGAAAATTCACATCCATATCCTCTAGAATCAGATACATCACTTCCATATCCGCTAAAATCGGATACGATTACGGATATAGATGCAGATATATAAACGGATATGCATGCAAATACAAAATGGGTATGAGAAAACTAAATAGTATTAAGAAAAACATAGTTTGTGTGATACAAAAGAGGTCATTAATATGTTCATTATAATTGAAAAGCTAAGATTAGACATCTTGATCATCCAAATTAACCACAAATCCATAATCTAAGAGTTGAAACTATCGTAAGAGTATGACTAATATGTATCCGGATATTTCGGATACAGATATTTCACTGCAAAACCATATCCATAATCATTTCCTATCGGTTATAGATTTTAGTAACCATATCCGTATCCTAACGGATAAGGTTACGGATATTTCCTCAGGTACGGATACAGTTTAGCACCCCTAACGGGGAGGAAATTTGCAAGAGCCAACATGCAATTAGCAAGATCTGAGGAACTAATATACAATTTTGTCAGATTTTAGAGAACTAATATACCTGAACGAAAACCCAAATTAATTATTAAAGACACGAAGAATACAAGTTACGACAAAGCCCAGTCGGAGTCCTTCATATCCCTCTCGATCCTCACCGAATAAAAACCCCGACTTTCTCAATCATAAAAGCCCTCAACCCTGGACCTCGAAATCCCCAAATCTCCCGCCCGCTCTCGTCGCCGGCGGCTCGGCCAGCGAGATCGCGATCTCTCCTCGTCGTCGTCGTGAAATCCCCTCTCTGCGGACTCCGCCTCGTCGCAATTTCTCCGATGCGCCTTACTTAGGGTTCTAGGATCACTTGACGAGTTCGTACGGATCGATCCTTGTTCGAATCTTTTACTGGGGAAAGAGGCCTCTGCGAGATTCAATTTAGCCTTTTTCTCTGCGCCTTTTCATGAAGATGTGGGTATCTCTTTCCTCAATATCTGTTTGGATTAGTTCGTTTCCTATTAGCTAAAGAATTGCTATGAATTTTGTATTGAGAAACACTGTGCTCTTGCGTTGATTGATATAGTTAATGGGCATGAAGATTTAGTAAACTCGTGTATTAATTTAATAAATGAGCGGTAATGTTAGGTCGTTTTTATGTGAAAAGTTCTTACAATTAGCAGATTTAGTGGGTTATCAACCTTGAAACTATGTTGTAGTTTTTTTAAAACTAACTATTTCTATTACTGGTTATTTATCAAAAAGAAGTTAGACCTGCGATCTGTACTTTGAAATGTGTGCTCTTGTCCATTATTTTTTTCTGCTGATGTGTAATTGCGGTTTTATATGCTTATTAGGATGTGGAACTTGCATGGAAATAGTTTATGTGCTCACCAACATCAGTTGTTAACTTTGCAGATTAAAAAAGAATGACGGACCACTCACTAATTTTGAAGTCCTTGAGTTCTTGCGTTCACGAGGGGCAACTAGCGACCCTTTAGGTTGTCTTGGTTCTGTTGCAGCATCTGAGTGCAAGGTTCTGTTCGTGTTTATGTGTGTTATTGTAAAGGATACTAATGCACCGGATTTCAACTTCTTCAATATTCCACCGATGCAATTGTAATCTTTTGATGTTGTTTGGATTTTGCAGGTATTTGATTATCTCATCCAAACTCCCGCATGCAATCAGACAAGAAAGGATGTTGATGAATTTTTGAAGAGGTCTGAGAATTTCGATCTAGCAAAAGCTGAAAAACTAAATATTATCAACTTGAGACCATCCACCCAAGCAGAAATTTATCCGGTATTCCATTGATCATCCAAGTGTCTATATTGACTTCTTTATAATTTGTTGTTTATATTTTGGAAACTCAATTCAGACTGACATGAAGAGCTGGTCTCAAAATACTGCATTTTTTTCTAATACACTTGTTATACCTATTTTCCAATGATTAGTTAAAGACAACCCTCATTGCCTTCTAGTGAGGTACTCAAAATTTGTGTGGATTAGGGGTGAGCAAATGATGGATCGGATCGGTTTGATCAATTTAGATGAAACTGAACTGAACCGAATATAAAGATCAAACTGAACTGAACTGAATTATTTCGGTTTGGTTCGGTCGGCCTGGTCAATTCTTTGAATTGCACTAGCCCCAGTCAATAGGCAACAGTAGGCAGCCATGGCTTCAGCTCAGAAACTTGGGCACCATTGCAGAAAATAAATTAAAAGAAGTATGAAGAACTAAGGAAGTTGAAGATTGAAGATCGTAGAAGAGGGAAAATTGATGATGAGATCTTTAAATTGCAGTGCCTCGTGAGAAGAGAGAGTCCATGGCTTGGTTTTGGTATTTAACCTCATTTTTTATTTTTCTTTGATGAGCTGGCAACAACTTGCAACTGAAATGATCTGAGCATTACTTAATCACACATGGGTGGGCCTTGTAGAGATAGACAATTAGATAGGGACTTAAAAGTTTTCAAGTGGAACTTGATATTCGGTCGGCTCCATTAAAATGGATTGAAAAAAAATTTATCCCGACCAAACCGAATAAATTAAAAAACCGAACCGAACCGTTGAAAATCTATGAATTTGGTCGGTTTTAGGTTCAGACCAAAGTTTGCTCAAACCTAGTGTGGACCATGTTTTGAAACTTGAAAAGAGTACATGATTTTTTTTACTATTAGAGTTATGGTATCTGAGCATCTATTCCTTTATACAAATAGGAGGATCAGAGAATTCCTGTTCATGCTACAGTAAATTCAACAGTAAAATAATCATTGTAGTATGAATTGTAGTATTGTTACTGTAGCACACTAAAATACTGTAGCACTTTTAAAAAAACTGTGCGATCCTGTAGCAATTCGAGGGACTTATGCTTGCTGTTGTAAACAATAACACTATAGCATACGGGAACAGTGCATCACTTTCAAAATACGAGATACTGTAGCAATCCGAAAATTACTGTAGCGTTTAAGAAACATGATTGCTGTAGCATGAAAAAATTTATCGTCGTGCTTTGCACGGACCACAAACTAGTACATGTTTAATGACATCATACAGTTATTGGTGTTCGACAATCATATTTTGGATATTAGAGAATTTGGACAAGGAGAGATGGACAAGGGTGGTCAAATTTCTAAAAAAGCTGAAATGGCTAATTCTGATCATTCTAAGTCTGCCAGGTCTTGACAGGTTCACTGATTTAAATTACTAACGATAGACTAACTAGATGGGGTATTGGCATAAAGCCTCGTGATTCCTCTTTGCAATTGATGACACATCTCTTCTTATTCATCCACATTACTTGCTGAAACTACCGCTCCAACTTCCATCAATTCGAAAACTCTTGAGGTAATTAATTTTTGTTGCTATAATAGAATTCTTAGCGCACTCTAATAAACTGTGTGACAGATTATTACCAACAGGGGAGGAAATGCTAAGAACTACATAGGGGAAGCACTAGAATCTGATTGCGGTTTATAAAGAGCTGGTGCAGAACGATTCTCCCCTTCAATAGTGTAGTTGATAGTAAACCTATAAATGATCAACTCCAAAATTTCATGATGTTATCCAACTCCTTTACTCCCAAGAAACATATCTACTTAAGTCTATATAGTGTCTACTCAACATGCTCTTTTTAGTCTAACTTTGGTAAGTGTCTCTATCGATAGGAATGTGACTTGATAGTTAAACACTCAGAGCTATCAGTATAGAAGACCAACAAGAAAGAAAGCAATTTTGTTTGGTATACCGGAAGTTACTGCTTTACTATAAAAAAAAAAGTTAACAGAATTAAATGAAAGCAAATATACATTTGATAGAGGATAAACCTAAAATTCTTGAAATCCAATTCAAAAATCTTAAGAGCAGGAATTTTGAGAAGGATTATAAGAAAAGCCTGCTAACCAACATCCTGGTCATAATAGAGATCACTAATCTTTTCTAACCAAAAGTGTGTGACTAAGTTCTATTTTGGTTGTGGGAGAACAAACTACCTTGCAACTAAGTCCTATTAAAAGGAGAAACAAATCAAGCCCCCCTACAAAACGAAACAATAGTTAATCTCAAGCTAAATTACTAGAGTGGTATATTTTATTGATCCTGAATATCAACTTGGTATATTTTGTTACTCCGGCGATGCTAAGATTTATAAAGTGAGACATGATGACAATGTCTATTTTTTGGTTGGAGCAAAATTTCTGACAACTAAAAGTCTCGTGCGTCACATGATGATGATGTTGCTTCTTATGTGGTAGGTAGTTGGGCTCATTCATTTGAGCTGAAAAAGGATTTTTTTTCCAAAATTAAGGCTCAGAAGAGGGTTGGTATCAAATTGGAGGGTTAAAATTGGGTTAGGGCAATTGACATTGGGTTAGGGAATCTTTGCAATTTGGGGATGAATCGTTCTCTCACATGAACAGAGAATAGAGGGAAAAGAGGAGGGGAAAACTTTGGGGACTTTGTTTCCTAGTGGTTAGTTAAAGATCTTGCTTAACATTCACCACATAAAGCCTAAATTAAGCTATCTAAGATGCACATGACGTATCATGTGAGGTGATTCCTTCGGAAGTTTTGCTCTAGTCAAACAATGGACATTGTTGTCATCGTGTTCCACTTTACTTACCATCAAAAAAATAATAAAATATACCAAGTTGTTACTTAGGGTCAACAAAATATACCAATCTGGTGATTTAGATATAAATCTCATGTAGGTAATGCCTCCATGATTACTGCAGCTGAATTGAGAAATAAATTGATGGCATACTTAGTCTCGGCCCTTGGCTGGAAGATTTGCTGTTTTTACTGTGATCTAAATGTTAGAGTGATAAGAATGATAACTCTTCTTAAAGTTCTGCCTTAGGTTTCTAAATTAGAGTTTCAAAATTTGTAGATTTTGGAGTTTCAGAATCTATAGATTTTTTCTTAGCCAATACACATTGCTTCTGGTTCATTCTTTTGCTTGGAGTTTTTCCAGTGTTGGTCCTCTATTTTAACAGCTTGAGTACTTGCACAAATGTCATCTCAGCTTGCTGGGAACGGAGATCTTTAGTAAAATTAGACCAAGAAGGGCAAGTCTATTTATAGGGCTAGACATCTTATACCCTTCAATAAAATATATTTTATTTGGATTGAATGTGTCAGATAAAATCTTGCAATTCTAGGATTGATCGTTGATAGGTTTACTATCTACCATTTAATATTAATTGAAGGAGGAATCATTTTATCCTACCATCATTTAAATACTGCACAGATTTTAATGCTTCCGATGATATTTTGACACTCTTATATTCATAGTATATATCATACAATTTATTAGAGTGTACTAAGAATTTGATTATAATAATGAAAGTTGATTTCCTCTTTTAGAAGCAGTAGAAGTTAGAGTGTGAGTTTCAGCAGGTGATGAGGATTGATTAGGGGTAGGTGATGATGATTGTGTCATCAATTGCAGAAAGGACTCTTAATGTTATGAGCTAATGGTGCATCTGATTAGCCCACCATTTATAATTCAAGCCAATAAATTTTGTAGGCTTGGTTGACTTAGAACAATTGGAACTATCCATATGTCTGAGACAAGGTTTTTTGTGAATTTGAATTAGATTCTGTAGTTATTAAATTCTATCATTCTGTTTTTTCTAAATGCTTCATACTTGTGATTAGAAATGCAGGCATAATTAGCAATATATGCAAGAAGAAGAAGATAACAATTAATATATGTCTTAACTTTTTTCCCTTTATCTGAAAGCTTATCAAAATATCACAACGTAGCATTAAAATAATAATATTTCCATTTCAAACTAGAACTTCTAGTAGTCCTTCATTATCATCTCCTTCGTATTCATCATCTGGTTCACATCTTTATGTAGAAGAACCTAAAAACGTAAGAGAGGTATAATTGAGAAGAACTTGGTGAAGACTTCACTTAATAGTTCCTGAAAGCTATGGATTCACTTGATAGTTTTTTTGGAAAAGACCTGTTGATGGCGAGATCAAATCCACAATGGAAAAACAAACACATTCATTTTCACTTACATCCATGATATGCTCATGTTGAATGCAAATGGATATTCAAGAGGAAGCTTAGACTTGAGTGGACCATTGAATAATGTTAGTGAAGAGGTATATTCAAAAGAAAGATACTGATCATTTTGACACTTATTTCCTCGTACCTAGGATCTCTACCATCAATTCTATTTTAATTTTAGCCTCTGTTCACAAGATCATCATACATCAAACGAATGTCAAGTCTTCTTTTTTTGAATAACATTTTGTGAAGAGATTTATATGGAAATCAGAACAAGCTCCAAACCAATGACATTAGAAATTTGGCTAAGGCATTGTGGATTACATATTTGGGATTATGAATTTAACAAGTGTGGTCATACACAATGACATGCTGTCCTCCACTTATATGCAGATGATATTTTTATGTTTGAGAGCTCTCTTGATGTGATTAAAAGGTGAAAGAATATTTTTTACAAAACTTTGGTATGTAGGATCTTGCACAAGGCAATATGATTCTTGGAATGAAAATCCCTAGATCCTCTAGAGGTATTTCCTTGAGTCTTCCATAGGATTGAAAGATGCTTCATAAATTTTACTTCTTCAAAAGCTAACCCATGAGCACAGATTATGACTTTTCAAGTTTGCTAAAGATGAATGACAATGATCATGTGTCACAGTATAGATACCCTCAACTTAGTAATCCTAGTAAGGAGCATTGGACAACTTCTCTCAGAGGCATCCTCAAATAATGCTCGACTTACACTGGATACTCATATGTTGTTTAAGGATATGGTGATGCTATGGGTTATAGATTTCAGTAGTGTCAAGTCAATTACAACTTTTTTGTTCATGCTTGTTGGAGCAGTTATATCCTAGATTAAGTGTGGTTGCAAAACTGACCCTGAGTTTCCATGTTCATTTAAGTAATTGCGGTGTCTTGTAAGCTTAAAAATGTTAAAAAAGGAATACGAAAAGTATCCTAATCTTTGTTTCTATATGAAAAGTTCAGCTTGAATTAGAACTAGAGGATTCATTTCAAATAGCAACATCAAGATTCAAATAAGTTTTACCTTTATGTGTAACAACATATTAAATTTAGGAGAGCAGTTTACTTGCCTTTAAAATCATCATCAGCAACAATAAATTAGAAATTAGCTTATATTGATTGAATCTCTCAGTAGTTCTCATGTCTCTCACCAGAGTTTAAATTCATTGAATCATTAGTGAATTGCTTATATTAGTCGTACTTGTGTCCATTATGCTTTGTTTGGGAGTTAACTGAGGGAAGGGACGGAAAGTTAAATAATGGAAAGGAAAGGTAGGGAATAGAAGTAAAAAGGATAAAATATTGTTTGAGAGTTTAGTTAGGGGAACGGAAGTAAATTTGTTTTACCTTGTTTGGGAGTTCTAATAAAGAGGAGGGAAGTAAAGTGAATATAGTCAAAGTTACATAAATACCATTGGATGAGAATGCATCTTGGCCATAGATTTTTGTCTGATAAGGGTATAGTTGTCTTATTATATTGTAAAATTTTACACTCGTTTCTATTACTTTCTCTACCGCCCAAATTGGAGGGAGAAAAATGGGTACAAATTTAACCTTCCATTCCATCCTCTAACCCCTAAAAAAACTCCTAAACGAGGTGAAAATAAAATTTCACTTTAACTTCCATTGATTCACCTCCATCCAAACATACTGTTAGGGTAGAAAAAATTAAGAAAAAAAAATTTCCTAGATTTACCACTATTTCTTAGAAAATTTATTCTCTTGTATGTTTTAGTAAAAAAGCAACGGTGCAATGACATTGCTAATATATCCAATGCGCGGATGTCAAATGCAAAATGGAAAACTATTTAATTTTTTAATATTAAAGTTGATATTCCGAATCCGATCCATCAAATCTTCACCAAACAATTAGTTTTTATCATAAAAATTGAGTTTGCTGTTCATCAAATCTTCACAAAGAACAATTAGTTTTTATTATTAAAATTGAGTTTTCTAGCCTATTTCTGAGTGCAAAGCTCGTAAAAGGCTTTTCTAGAAAATGAGAGCTTTTAGAAAATCAACTTGCTTTTCTTGGCTTAATCAAACCATAGAAATGGAAACATTTTGTGGAACTTCATGTAGATGCTTGTCGTAATTGACTATGCATCAAACTTTCTCTATAACCGTATACATTCAAAATCATAAGTTATGTTTGTTTTTGTTAGGGTATTAGACAGTTCAGCTTTATGAATTCAATATCTTGCCCATTTAGGACTTGCCTTTAGTATACATATCCCTTTGTTATTAGAGTTTTCCATTTATAGATATTGCGTAAAATATGTTGTATTACCCTCTACTTCAAATTTGTTGTGAGAGAAGTTATTTGTCTTATGTTTTGTCCAACATTGTTTGTGGGGTAGATATTGTAATCTCCTATTAGTATAAATAAAGCACCATTGAGGGAGACTAATAATCTTTCCCTCTCCTTTCCTTTTCTCTCAATGATTAATGAATATCATTCATTTAACTCCTCTTTAGGTTCACATATGGTTTCCCATTATGATGCAAGACACAAATGCTATTCAGAATTGATTCGGATTTGAGATAGATTTGTTATGATTTTAGATTTGAATTTGGTTGTCAGTAGGTGAGCATTAGTTATTTTGTTCAGTTGTTTTGATTTGAATTGTGTTTGGATTGAGTTTGTTGGATTATTTTATGGTTAAAATTAAATTGGTTTTAGAGATAGGATAGGTTTTTGAATTTTTTTTAAGATAAGATTTCCGAACGAACTCTATAAAAGAGGGAGGAGATTTTTATAATGCGGTGAAGAGATTATGAAGAATTTATGAAAGTTTGAGTTGAAGAAAATTTTGTGTGATTTAGCTAAGGCAAAAGCCATTGTTTCTCGATGAAGCCGAAAGGGTTGAGCATTTGTGTGTATATTCTGACTTAGCTAACAGTTAGATGTCTATGGGTGAATCTGATCTAATCTAAATTATCTTACTTTGCTCGTCTTTTATTTTATAAATTAAAAAAAGGTATTGTTTGTGGATACTGTTCACCCAGAATTTATTGGTGAAGTTTTCCGACACTTTTCCGTTCTCGACAATTGGTACCAGAGCAAGTTCAACATGCCATGATAATCGTGGGTAAATATCCACTTCATCACAGCAATTTGAATTTAATTCTTTGAAATTTGGCAATGTGTCTTATTTTTATGGATTTGATGTATGTGAGGGAAAATATGATTTTGCACTATGGGTACATGACCTAGAAGCTTTATTTACTATTTACGATATGTCGGATTGGAAAATGTATATGTATGCTAAGTGTTGGTAAAGAGGATAAGCTGAAGATTGGTGGTGTCATAATGATTTTTGTTATCAATCATATATGCATTCATGGGGAACTACTAAGATTATTCTTGAAAAGAAGTATTCTACTTCTTCAACTATAACTAGAAAATGTTATGTTCTCTCTTCAAAGCTCGAACCAACACCAACAAGAGTGGCCCAACCCCAATCAGGTGCTAGGTTTCAATCAGAACCAGAGCTAGAATTGGAAACTAAGCCTAAGCTTAAACCAAAATCAGATAAGAAATCAGATCCAGAGCCTGAGCCAGATTTAGAGCATGAACCTAAGCCCGAGTCCAAGCCTCAGTCTCAAATCCTTATGCATGATCAGAACACCATCTGGTTCGAGGTACTTCAAGTTCAAGACAATTCGATAATGGATTTGTAAATACCAGAACCTCCTCTACTGACCCGTTATCATGTTCTGCAAATAATATTGAAGACATTGGCGTCCATCCGGTCAGAGTTCAAAAGAATTCAAGGATTAATTATTTCATCCTTCTTTAAAACTCAATGTCGAGTTTTCTCCCATAAGGGGAGAACTGATGCATGACACAATCACTATTCAGATTTGATTCAGATTGAAGGTAGATTTGTTAAGATTTTAGATTTGGATTTGGTTTTCGATAGGTGAGAATTAGTTATTTTGTTTAGTTGTTTTGATTTGATTTGGCATTAGGATTGAGTTTGTTGGATTATTTTATGGTTAAGATTGAATTGGTTTCTAGAGATAGGATAAGTTTTTAATTTTGTTTTAGATAAGAATTCCAAATTATATAAAAGAGGGTGGAGAGGTATGTGATGCATTGGAGAGATTATGAGAATTTTATGGAAGTTTGAGTTGAAGAAAATCTTATGTGATTTTGCTAAGGCTGAAGCCATTGTTTCTTAGTATGAAGCCGGAAGGGTTGAGCGCTTGCGTGTAAAAAAAAAAACTGTTCGTGGGATTATTCACCCGGAACACTGTTCACTCGAAATTTTTTGACAAAGTTTTCCGGCACTTTTGCGTTCCCCGTCACATTATCATCTGGTTCATTAAAGATAGATGGGGAAATTACTGTCGCGAAACATGTGTCATTGGAGCATCAGTTGGTCAATCTTCTTAGAAAGCCTTTTGAGAAAAAATGGGTGGACTTTATCCGTGACAAGATGAAAATGTATGATATATATGTTCCAGCATGAAGAGAAGTGCTTTGAGAGAAATTATTTGTCTTATGTTTAGTCAAACTGCTTGTGGGTTAAATATTTAATCACCTATCAGTATAAACAAAACACAGTAGACGGGAGACTAATCTCTCTCTAATTACTAATTCTACAATAATTAATGAGAAATATAGAAAATTCTTCTTTCTCATATTTCAACAAATCTAATTGGAGTTCAGTTCATATTGTCATCTGTTGCCAAATGGTCAATAGACTTTGATACTATTCATGAGTAGAATTCATTTCTGTGTGTAGCCATACTCTAGTGAAAGGTCAATGGTTATGCTTGGTCCCTCAATTTGGCAGCTGTGTTATATTGTTTATGAATTGGGATAATCTCTTTATCCGAGTGAAAATTTAGGTTTCTTTAATCCAGTTTTTTTCCCTATAAACGATGTGATTATTTGAGGATGTAAGTTACCTTGATCATATTGCAAGAAACTTGAGTAGGCAGTGTGCTTATACGAAATGCATAATTTAACACATGTAACCTGTGATACGCTGAAGATGCTCTTATCCTTTGGATGATCAGTTTTCTTTCTAAAGAAAATTATTTGATAAAAATCTAATAGTTACTACTAATATTTTTGCTTATGCCTGCAGATTATTGAGTATTGTGACAAGAGATTTGCTGGCAATGAAGATGAAGGTATATCAAAAGTCGATGAGCTCGTTCAAATGGTTGTTGAGATTTTACCTCCCCCTCCAAAGTCTGAAGAGGAGACATCCGATCAAAATGAAGAAGAAGCAAAATGAGAAGTATGAATTTTTTTTTTTTTTCGCGCGCAGGTCTTAGTCCAACGGCTGATTATGGCAATGATTTTAGTAAATCAGTTCTCAGATATTGGATTCGGAAGCACTGCAGGATTTTGGGGAAGAATTTTCTGCTGCTGGAACTGTTACCTACTTATCTTTCCTTCAAGAGGCCAGTGAAAATGAAAATGGATATTATTAAACAATGTGTAATGTGTATTATTTGTTTCGCTTAATATCAACTTTTCGGTATTTCTTGCGAACTCTGGTGGCTTAATTAAATGGTTGTCAAGTTAGGTAGTTATATGGAATTTATGAATTGTTAGAAATCAGTTGAATTGTTAGAAAAAGAAAATGCCGCAAAAATCAGGTAGAAATTGGAATTGTATGATGTTGCAAATACATATGAATATCACTATGGACACCATTTCGGAGCATAACTACTTACTTATAAATGATAATCCATATGAAATTTAGAAGTCAGGCCCTAAAGTTTATTAAGGGGAGTTACATTGTATTATTTTTATTTATTTTCTATTCCTCGTTGCTGAACAAAAGGCAGGGTACTGTTTTGAAACTTTAGAAGCCGGTTGGGCCAAAACGGTGAGCGCCGGTGCGCCAATGCATTTGATAGAAACTGTAGAAGTTTTACACGCGCACGTTTTGTGTCATGACGGAAGAGAGGCCCAACTTAGGATAGCCGGTGGTGGGCAAAATAAAAATAAAAATAAAAATAAATACGCATCCTGTACGGAAAATGCGGACAGGGTACATACAAAAGCTGTGGACACGTTTTAAGTCCCTAGATATTGATTCTAGTAGATCTCTAGTAATCTTCACAACTGAGAGAGAGGTGTACTTCTCAATCATTTCACTAGGCTGCCTATTACTCTCTCTCAATCTACACCCCTCCTTTCCCTGCGTTTTCAACCACTACGCCGTTCTCATCTCTCAGCACGCGTACACAATTTTTTTAGTTGAGGACTAGATGATGAATGGATCTATTTTGAATTGGTTTATCACCACAACTGGCCGCTGTTATTTGCTAAATAAACTAGGACCGTGGTTTAAAATTGGAGTCGCAAAATAGACCCTACACCGAAGGGAGAACCCCCTCAAGATCAGCCGTCCAAGATGACCATAATCCGCGATGACCCTGTGATATGGTATAGAAGGGTATGAGCGGGGCGCTCTAGAACGAGTTGTTGAGAAGTAGACTAGTAGTTGATGCATTATCGCTCCTATCTATCTTCCGGTAACTCATTTTACTAAATAAGTTTGTCAAGCTCGCAGACTATGTTTCTGCCACAACTAGATCTAAATTAAAGCATTCGCTATCACTGCGTTGCCGGTTAAATTATCAATGATGCAATCAAACAGTAGTAGTATCAGTTAATAGGATACGATCAAGCTATTGTATCAAATAATCTCCGATTTTTGAAATCTATGTTGACATAGTTTTCATAAGGCCACCGCGTATCATAACCCCAAAAAAAACTTGGGATGACTTCAAAAAACCCCTCCTTTTAACTCTGAAAATATCAGGAAACAGCTTAGGTTTAGGGGTTGTCAGGAAACCCTCTTAACGTTGAGATTTCATCAGGATACGCTTCTAATTTAAAAAGGTTTTTTAATAAAATCTAAAAGGTAACTCTAAAAGTTAAAAGGGGGTTTTGGTGATAATCCGGATACTTAAGGGGTCTTTTTAATATTTTGAAACATTGATGGGGTTTTCTGGTAATTGTCCAAAGGTGAAGGAGGGTTGTTTTCTGATATCTAGCAATTTTCCGTAACCTATCATTACTGTTAGATGTTTATTCTTTTCGGGTTACTTTGGGATTGGAAATAGTGGTTTACTTGCTCAAGTCCCAAGAGAAACGACTACTGCACCAACAACTGGTAGTAAATTAAAAAATAATAATAATAAATTTACAAATTATATTTATTTGACTTCAGACTCGAGAGAGGGTGGGTGAGGGTGAGGGTGAGCGGGTAAATACATTAATATATACCCACCCGCTAAATCCGTGGAATAGTCACGGTCAACTGACGCCTCTGAGCCTCTCCGGATCAGAGTCTGATTCTGATGGGATACCTTGCTCAGACGACACTTTAAGCCTGTGAAAAGATTTTTTTGGGGGGGATTCTTCTCCCTTTTATAACAATTATAATGCCACCATTTCTACCAATCTTGCAGTAAGAGCCCGTTTGGTTGATGTTTTTGGCCTCGGGTGTTGGTCAGAAAACCTGTCAAAAGAGCACCTTTGGCAGGTTTTCTGTCAAAACGCCTCTTTTATTAAAGGTGTTTTGGGCAGAAAGCCTGCCAAAAGTGCTCTTTTGACAGGCTTTCTGTCCAACACCCGTCAAAAACATCAACCAAACGGGCCCTAATCTTGGATTACGACTTGCGAGATATAATCATGTGGGGCCCTTAGTGGATTCATAGTTTTGTAATCTATTTAAGGCTTGTCCGGTTGTTTTCTTGAAAACTAAAGAAAAATGAAGGACGTGAGTAAACCATCAAGCAAGTTTTTCTCCAATTTTCTTTAACAAAATCCATGAAATGGATGTTCTAAAATGTGAGCCAGACCAACCAATAAGAAGTTGGCACATCACCTTTTTTCTTTGTTTCAATGTTTGAACCAAACAAAGAAAAGGTTCGGAGCTGTCTATTCGCATGCGAACTATTCTGAGAGGATCTGGACTCTATGTAATCAGTGTATCATCATACAGATAATAATGACTAATGAGTTCTTAGATAAATTGGAATAAGTAATTTTTGTTCTTCATGGACTTCTGAGTTGGTGCATAATCAATCTCTATTAGTGCATGCATCCTTATATATTGATTTGGGCATTCTAAGTTCTAGTTAAGGAAGCTTTAAACCCATTGATGGTACGGATGAATTGCCTAAATTCTTTTCAATAGCTCTTAGTGTGAACCTTTGAGGGAACTTTTCACTGTGATCAAACTATTTTGAAGTCACGGCTCAAACTTTCTTGGCTTTATTTCCTTTGGATTGAAGGAAAGCTATGAATCCAAGACCGAAAAGATGGATGGACCTCCTCCCATACTAGCACAAGCTGATAACTCAAAGATCCAAATGTTAATTAATTATTTATGTAAAAGTCACGATATATTTTTTTCATATAATTTGAAGAAATTCTACACTGATCCAGCGGATGAGATGACTGATACTTACCGCCTCATGGGCAACCCGTCCTGAAAAAAGTTAATTTCTTCCATTAATTTATGAGTCACCCCCGATTCAAAGAATGATCTCTAAGAAGTTCGATAATCTTTTTTTGATGAGGAGGACTTGGTCATCTATATTTTCCTAGCAAAATTCCCACAATCCTTTGCATCGCCCACACTACTGCAAAGGGGACTATTGGCGACGGACAAATCCGTCGCCAAAAGTCCAAAATCCGTCGCTAAAAGTTTTAGCGACGGAAAAAAAAAATTTCCGTCGCTAAAAATCCGTCACTATTGTCAGGGTAGGTAAATCCACCTTTAGCGACGGCAAATCCGTCGCTAATTTATAGCGACGGATGTATAGCGACGGAAAATCCGTCGCCAAAGTATTATACTTTGGCGACGGATTTTCCGTCACTATACAATTAACCGTCGCTATATTTTTTGGCGACGGATTTTCCGTCGCCAAAATATACTTTTGGCGACCGTATTTCCGTCGCCCTATGTCCGTCGCTATATAATTTTCCGTCGCCAATATATATTGGCGACGGAAAATCCGTTGCTAAAAGTTGTTTAGTGCACATCTGGCGTGTCAGTTTTCCGTCGCTAAAAGAGCTTTTAGCGACGGAATATCCGTCGCTAAAAATAATCTGAATTTTTTTAAATTTTTTTGAAAATAAGAAATTCCTGTACAATATATTTCACAACAATAACCTGTACAATAAATTTACCCAACACAAGCTCATATAACACATATTTCACGTATATATAACAATTATTTCACTAAAAACATAATAAATATCCCAACATTAGAAATGTTTATACAGCACACCCATTGTTTTTAATGTTAAAACAAATAAACTCAGTCCCGATCATCATCATCCTCATCCTCATCACCAACTCCACCTTGTCGAGAAGTCCCAGCCTAAAAAAATAAATAAAACGTTATAGAGCAATACGTACATCATCATAAACTGAATTTTACAGTAAAGTAACAAATTATAAAACAACAAGGCATAATGCAAGTATAGCAATAATAGAGTATCATGGCATATTCTTACATGTTATATGATTCAGAGAGAGTATCATGGCATATATTTATGTATTATACGTAAGCACGCACATGTTTTTAACAACGCACGCACCCGTACCTATCTCCACCGACACGCACGCACGCACGCACGCACGCACGAGTACTCAGCTCAACCCAATCCCCACACTTCCCCCTCCCCCACCACGACCAAACCCAACATCAAGCACGCACATAACGATCACGACAATACAACACATGCAACACCACAACACAACAATAACAACGCTCGTCAAGATGCCAGTAACGCTCCCAATCTTCTGTTCTTTGAGTAAAATATTTTTTCTTCAGCTCTGACCGCCACCTCTTGAACGATAGATTGATTTGCGTGAAGCAGTAAGTCCAGGCATAAGCGTAATCGTCAAGAAAGAAAAATCGCTTCAGCATACAATGAAAAAAGAGATACAAATCAGTGTGTTAAACAAAATAATATAAACTATAAAATAAATGACTCACACATATATATCGCCAACAAGCCACCAGCGCATCAATCCGCTGCGACTTCCACGTCAAATATATGTTGAAGAAATCATGTCTCCTGGCTAAAGCGGCGAGGAAATTGTTGAATGAGTTAGCAAATGGCCCGACAGGCACGCCGTTCTGCCATCGGATCACGGCCCTCCGACGAATATCTGGGACGAGGTTCTGTGGCTTGGTACTACTGCGGCCGCGCCTAGTAGGTCGCTCGGTACCTACGAAAAAATGAAATTCAGGCGAAATATAAATCAATCAATATCGATAATACAAATTAAAATATTAACATATAAACTATAAAAATCTATACACACCTTTCAATTCGAGGCATCTACGCCTTGCTTGTTCATACCTCTGCTGTGCGATAAGTCGCAAATCATGATAAGCATCCCAATCCTCCTTCACCTTGGCCGGGTCGTGGGCTCGCTGATCCGGAATAGAATCCGGCGGTAGTGGCGCAGCTTCTACAGCTGCGCTATATGGCTCATATCGGCGCTCCTCCAA